AGACAGAGTATCGCATTGTCACCATGGCTGGAGTGCAGTGGTGTGATCTCGGCTCACTGCAACCTCCGCCTCCCAGGTTCCAGCGATTCTTCTGCCTCAGCCTCCCTAGTGGCTGGGACTATAGGCTCCCGCCACCACTCCCAGCTAATTTTTGTATTTTTAGTAGAGACGGGGTTTCACTATGTTGGCCAGGCTGCTCTCAAACTCCTGACCTCAGGTGATCCACCTGCCTCAGCCTCCCAAAGTGCTAGGATTACAGATGTGAGCCACCACACCCAGCCTCACCTTCTTAATTGAACATAATATCATGAGCATTTTCCAACCTTGTGTAAATGTCTTGTTAGCATTGCTCTTAAAGGTGCATAATATTTTCTGGTGGCGTTTGATTTTTTAAAAAGGCTCTGAAAGTGACAAGGTACAGATCCTGGAGCTTTTTTTTTTTTTTTCTTTTTTGAGGCAGGGTTTTGCCATGTTGTCCCGACTGGTCTCAAACTCCTGAGCTCAGGCGATGCCACGTACGTGCTGGAACTACAGGCATGAGCCACCACACCCAGCCGGTCCTGGAGCTTTCCATGCGAGTGACCCACCCTTGTCCTAGAACTTTTCACATCAATGGCAAATAGCATTCACTATAGATGGGAAACAGGAAGGGGTGAGGCAGTGGCGATCACTCAGTGGCGGGAGTTACAACCACCACCAAATGGTGTTGAGGAAAACAATCCAGTCCTGTGGGATGCAGACAATTCCTTGTAGAATCTTCTCAGCAATCCTTTCTTAGCCCTCAATGAAGGGTGGGCTGCAAATGTCAGAAACAGGAGAGTTTCCCCCTGAAACTTTGAGAAATTCACCAGCCATTCATACTTAGGAAACTCTAAGAAAACTGGGATACTTCTACTTTCTTTAACCCGCTCCTCCAATTTAATAAATTGACCTCCAAATGAGAAAGCTTCCCTTCAGCAAGAGCTGGATTCAGGAAAAAGTCACGCAAATCAGAACAGCCCCAGAGATTGTTTCTTCTCCAATAATAAGTTAATATACGTGACAGCAGATTTAACCTGATTCAATTTGTGCATTTTTTACTAATTGGCAGAATTTTAATCTGAAACACTTAAACCACGCTGGCTTGAGACAGAAGCATTTCCAATATAGGAAAAAGTTATAGCACAGTTCCACAGCAGTTTCAACAAACCCGTGAAGCAGTTCTGTCTTGCAAAGGTGGGTGTGGAGTTGCACACTTCACTCTCGTTAAACCTGTCCGACGGCTCCTTGAGTTTTAACTGCTTAGCAGTTTGGCTTCAGGTGGAAATGAACAAAGCAACTCCGAGTCCTTTTCCACCAAGGCACACAGAAGAAACGTCACCGTCATCTCTAAACAAGTTTTTATTTTGCTTTACTGAATAAGGAAAAAATAATCTCATGATCTAAAATTGGAATTTCT